CTACTATGTTCATAGCAGCATTGTTTGTAATAGCCAGAACTTGGCCATACATTTTTAAGCATTCAGTCTGCCCTGGAGAACAGGTAAAGAGTAGTTTGTTGCCCCAGTAAGAATCCCTTGAAGAAAACTAAATTTTCATTTAGAAGTGATTATCAATTGGAGATAACTTCAGACTTAGGGATGTGGACTTGTGTCCACTTCTCTTTTTAGCCTTAGGACCCCAAGAAGTAAAGACCCTCTGAATGAGTCTAACTGTTATAAACCAGACAAGACCAAACCAAACCCAAAGATCCTGTGATAGGCAAAAGAATGAGAAACTGACTGTTAAGTTGCTTAGCGAAGTATAGTCAATAGTGGGGGTTTTATTCCTTTTTGATTTATAGAATTAACTGGATTTGGTGCCCTTAAAAATCATCATAAATTACAGATAAGTTATAGAATATACTTTTTAAAGCAACTTAACAGACACTTTCTCATTAGCTTCCATAACAGTGTGCTTAGTTTGGTTTGGCCTGGTCTGGTCTGGTTTGTTCTGATTTGGTACTTAGTATCAACCTCAAGGCTTCATGCTAGGCAAGTTACTGTTGAGGCATACAACATTGCCACCACATTACAGATTTGAGGTAAGACATAGTCATAATATATTAGGGATTATTTTTTCAATTTTCAACAGTGCTTCATGATCAGTTGTACTATCAAGTTTCTGCAGAATTGCCTATTGATACATAGCTTCACAACTTCAGATCTCTGTTAAGTATACCTTCAGCTATTAAATACATATATTGACATTTTCTCTTCATGCTACAAATCTTCACAGTTTTACTCTCTCTGGAATATTTTAGATGAGCTTAAATTTAAATGGTAGTGAGTTCAGGGTTTTATGGAGGTACTAGAGCTGATTAAAGCCAGAGTAACTGATAGTGAATTAAATTGTGCTGTAAAACTTTCCAAGTCTCACCATTAAGATTTATTTTCTTAAATAAATAGATCTAGAGAGATGGCTCAATATTTAAGAGCATGTTTTTGAACATCCAAAGGACAAGAATTTGGTTCTTAGCACCCGTATCAGATGGCTCATAAGTGCTTGTCATTATTAGGTATCTAACCCATGGCTTCCACATTTGTCTGTACTCATGTGTGTCTACTCACATTAGGGCATGCACATGTACACATCTTGTTTTGAATAAAAGTTAAAGACTTGTTTGTAGACTATTCTCATTGTATCATAAGTTTGTTATTAGAACCAATTACAAGTGTCTGAAAACATCAAAATTTTATTTATCAATCTGGTTTACTTAATTGTTGAGCCTCTTCTCATAGCTCTTTTAGAAAACACAACTTTGTAAACATGCTTGTACCCTCAAAAGTCCACAAACATTCTGTTTTTATCATTCACATTTCTAGTAAAGAAAGTCATAGTGAGATGTAGATGGACAAGAGGATAATAGATATAATATTTTCTGAGAACTGTGTATGAATCACCTTTCCACTCTTGTGAGATGAATTATTCTTCCCAGGTATTATATATACATGTACAGATACACACAGACACAGAAACAGACACACAGTTACACACACACACACACACACACAAGCACAAGCTATAGATAGATAGGTAAAGAGAGAGAGAGAGAGAAAGAGAGAGAGAGAGAGAGAGAGAGAGAGAGAGAGAGAGAGAGAGAGAGAGAGAGAGAGAGAGAGAGAGAGAGAATTCCAAATATGTAGGTGGGAGACTTCAAAGTAAAATAAAAAGTTCCATGTTGAAAAATATATAAAAAGCAAAAAGTGAAACATACCTTTAAACCTCTTCTTGGTTAGATAAATCTGTGTCTGTTTTTTTTTAGAAATAGCCATTTTTGTTCATTCTTTTCTTGGCTTCTCTATGCCACTTTCTCTTTTATTTGATAACTGAAACCTCACCCTGTGTAAAATTACAGGAAAGATATTTCTTTTGGTTGAGCATGGATCTGGCAGAACAAACTGAACACCACAGGTGAGGACTCTGTTGCATTCAAGAATTCAAAGTCTCTTTTGGGTAAACACTCAAAAGTGGTATTGCTCGGCCTTGACATTGATTGTTTTCTAATTTTCTGACAAATTGCCGTACTGATATCAAAAGAGGCTGTAACAGTTTACATTCCCATCAGCAATGAAGAAGTGTTCCCTTTACCCATACCCTCTCCAGCATACGTGGTCATCAGTGTTTTTGATCTTGGCCATTCTTACAGGTGTAAGATGGAATCTCAGGATGTTCAATGATACCAAAAGGACATGTGCACAACTATGTTCATAGCAGCGCTGTTTGTCATAGCCAGAACTTGGAAAAAACCTAAATGCCTCTCTACCAAGATTCTCAAATGTTAAATATATTGTTTTAAGGGAGTACTTATCTTATTTCTTGCATACTTGATATGAATTTAATTGCATGCATGCCTCCCCAGTGATATAGGTCACACTAACTCTGAGTAACTTAAATTATGGCTTTAATTTGAATTGTTCAAGAAAGTCATTATCCTGTTAGAGTAGGGTGTACCTTTCATGTACAAATATTTGTAATCTTACCAAATGAGAAATTTGAATCTTTTTATGCCTAATGAAGTGAGAGGGAGTTGATTAGAAAGAAATCAATAAGAGGTGAAGAATAAAAGATACACCTACAGAAGCAGATGAGCAGAAATAGAATCTCAGTCATGATCCTGTAAAAAAGGTTAACTTTATCACATTTTCCTTTTAAATTTTACCATTCAATACTGTAAGATAATTAATTTCTTGCACATTTTAGTCCTTTTTGTATACATACTGCACTAATAAGCTAATATAATACCTAAAGTATTGTTTTATAAATGTATATTCTAATTAGTAGTACCAAGTATTTTAAATTAAAGATATATCCAGCTATGTATCTTACAGAATAAAATGCCATTAATTTAAAATTCTATATTACCTCAGCAAGTCAGCTAACACAGTAAATATGGCAACCTTGGTCATTACTGTTTGTGTCCTGTCTATGAGTTAAACACTTCCTCTAGAATGACAGTCAAAGATTTGTCTTGTGGAAATTTTTTCTGCCTTGACCAGATGATTTATTTCCCAACTCTACAAATATTGTCATTGCTACCTTTGTTGTTATGAAAAAGAAGTTAGTAGAAAATTATTTGTGCCTGGTGTTTAAAATAAAAGGCCAAATATTCTTTATTGATCTTGAACATACCTGCCTTACATAAACCTTATCTTATCCTGAGCCTTATCTTAAAACATGAAAAAAATGCTATAACCTGGTAATGGATTTGGCTTCCTGGAAAAGTACAGGAACTGTTTCAATGAAGAGATGCTGTTCAGTAAATCTAATGTGCAAGGGCACTTTTAAGTGACTGACTATTAACTCTTCCGTGTCTTGTTTTACAACTAAATAAGCTAAATTAATGTAGCATAGGGCATATTTGGGCAGAAGGGGTTCACCATGTTTTAAAGGATAGAACTTCCTAGAAAATGGGTATTGGTTTTCAACATTTTTCTTAGCTTACCGTACTGTGGGTCATTTAATCAATGCTATCAATCTAATAGTAATGCCATTAAAAACACAATCAACAATACAAGCTTCCACTTCAGCTTAGCCTTACTCACTGAATATAATGAAAAAACAATCATCAGCTAAAGGCTTTTGGAGAGAATGAATTTCTGGATCATAAACCTGGAGAAAATCAAGGGAAACCACAGAAGTATAATGAAACTGCATGGGAGTGATGAGCTACCAAGGTAATGTTCTTTAAAATGTAGAAAAACACAATTGATTTGATGGCCAAAGCCAACTGTAAATAAAAATAAAGAACTGGTGCTTATTCCGTTTAAAATCTGGAGTGTAGCTTGCAGATATTATGTGATCTGACTTAGGGGAAATAAAAACCTCACACATGAAAAATAAAATAAGTGATCATTAATGAAGGATCATCAATAAATATTCTCTCTTTCCCTCACTCTCTGTGTGTGTAGTAGCTTTTTCATGGTGCACACATAAACATCACAGGACAACCTCAGGTATATGTCATTGCTTTTGAGCATGTTTGAGTCAGAGTATTCTTTGTTATTCATTCTGTATGCTACTGCCAAGCTAGCTAGTCAACAAGGATTGCCATATTCTCCTGTTTCCACTCCCCGGTGACCATAGGAGCACTTAAATTATTCATTTTTCATGTGTGGCATCATACTCAGCCTTATGTGACTTCTGGAACTTAAACTCAGAGCTTCATTCTTGCATGTCAAACACTTTACTCATCAAGATGCCCCCCTATCCCAGTAAATATCTTTACCATCTCATTTGCTTCATTATTTCCCTTTCTTTTATGACATACAAAGTAGAATAATTAAACGACATACTCATATTGCTGAAGTTATATTTTTAAGTGGGTTATAGAAAATAAAGATGCTTTTTCTTCTGTTATAGACTAAAGATGCTGTCAAGAATGGTGTTTATTTTTTTTCTAGCAGCAATAAAAATATCAATGCAGTTTGAAACTGTCTTTTTAAAAGGTAAGTTCTCAGAACAAACAAAAGCCTGGAGTCTAAAGATGTAACAGCCCACTCACAGAATTTTTTTCACCTTTTTTCTCATCTGTATTTACCCTTTAAATCAGAATATGATTGGGCACTGTATTTCCACTCACAAGCCTTGCTCACAAGACCTAGGGAAGCGTAGGATTTTGTTCTTGGTACAAGCCACATGGGGAATTCTTGTTTTAGCTTGTGTACTTACTTCTAAGACTAGTACATGCAGAACTATAGGGGATGAAAAATTTTAAAATGAAACTTAAGCCATCTTAATTTTTTTCTGTTAAACATAAAGTTATTATCTCAGAACACTTCCAAGTGAAATTATCTGGTCTAATAAGGGATCCAGCTCGATCGACAGCTAAACACTTCAAACCACAAAGTTAATAGGTTACATTACGTCTTACAACAAACGTTCTACCAACCTATTGAATCAAACCTATAGTATCACAGTATCACACAAATAGAAAGAAATTTTATCTTCCCCTTAGTTTTCATGCCACACAGATATCTTAATGTTAACAAAAATAAACAAAAATCCTGGGAAATATATTATCAGAAGGAATGATAGTAAGCATCAGAGTTCTGGTGAAGCTTAGTCTACTTCTTCCATGCGTGAAGTGTCGTCATCTCCTTCCAGAGGTGGCATTTCTTCAGTTACAGCAGCACTGGTATCATCCACAGTAGGATCATCTTCATCAATACCTAGACCAAGCTTGATCATCCTGTAGATCCTGTTAGCGTGTGTCTGGGGATCTTCCAGACTGAAGCCAGAAGACAGGAGTGCAGTTTCGTACAGCAAGATGACCAGATCCTTCACAGATTTGTCGTTCTTGTCGGCCTCTGCCTTTTGCCGGAGGGTTTCAATAATGGAGTGGTCAGGGTTTATCTCTAGGTGCTTCTTTGCTGCCATATAACCCATCATTGAGTTGTCTCTGAGGGCTTGAGCTTTCATGATTCTTTCCACAGAATTTTAAGAACAACTTGTGTTACCTTGGCTAATGTATTTTAAGATGAAACATAGTAATCCATCCCAGTGTAGCTCTTATTCATCATTAAATAAGCTTTCTTTCTAGCAGATGGTGACCATTATAGACATCCACAATTGGTCAAAATTCAGATAATAACTTGATGATTCAATTTTTGTGCTTATGTATATATAGTTTCATGTTTAACACTCTGCATTGGGTAAGGCAGAAATTTGTGGAGGGGTAGCTGAAAGCAGTTGGAGGGGTTGAAACCGTTGGGTAATGTAATTCTATTTATATTGAAAAAAAACTTTATTTAAGATTAAAGCATAAAAAGCAATTGATGGGGAATAATGCAGAGGATAAATGACTGTTTGGTTCCCAACCCTAACCAGCTCATCTACAGCATGACTTTTATGTCTCCAGAGATGCCAGAGAACAAGATTCATTTTTGAAGATTCTAAGATCAATAGGAGACAATGCAAGGAAGAGGTACCCATGAAATCTCAACAATATGGTTTCCTAAAGAGGAACTGCATAACGACAGCATCAATAGAAATGAAAGCATGATAGGGCTGTTTCAAAAAGCCTCAACACTAGATCAGGAGATACATTCAACCAATGACTTTATTAGAGAGGGATAATCAATTTACCCCTTACAGGTTATCTAACCCCAAGATGTTCAGCCCTAAACACATTTGCATAGGACCCATGATAAATGGACTCAGAACAATAATAAAGAAAAATATTTATGGGTTTGAGAAGGGGTGGGAATGGAAGTGTAGGAATTGGCGGGAGAAGAATGTGGCATGTGGATATTGTAGATATATTACTTAAGTATGAAATGTTAGAAGTACTAACATGGTTAATATCTTTGGGCAATTAATCATAGAAAATACTAATTTCTGAAATAAGGATGATCTGGCATATCATTATACAAGTTTGGGGAACATTTGGTAACATGGAATCTGGCCACATGCTATATCTTCCTCACAAGTTTCATTAGATAGAAAGGAGAAATAATGGAGGCAGCTCAAGGAAGGGTATCAACTAAAGCTCTTCTGAGTAGTGGATGTGCAGGATGGTATTGTTATATACAGGGTAGTAGGATGCAAACATCACTAACTCAACCTGATTCCCAGTGTAAATCAAATACATCCTACTACTGAGGAAGCAAAGCTAACATTCTTGCTCACAAGGCCAAGAAGATAAAAACAAACAAAATGTAATCCTACATACCATGTTCATCTTTCTGGGTCTGGGTTACCTCACTCAGAATGTTTGTTTCTAAATCTATTCATTTGCATGCAAATTTCAAGATGTCATTTTTTTCCACCGAGTAGTACTCCATTGTGTAAATGCACCACATTTTCTTTATCCATTCTTCAATTGAGAGACATTTAGGTTCTTTCCAGGTTCTGGCTATTATTGATAATGGTGCTATGAACAAACTTGAGCAAATGTCCTTGTGGTATGGGTTGGCATCCTTTGGGTATATGCCCAAGAGTGGAATTGCTGAGGTAGTTTGATTACCAAACTTCTGAAAAATTGCCATACTGATTTCCAGACTGGTTGATTAAGTTTACATTCCCACAAGCAATGGAAGAGTGTTCCCTTACTCCACATACTTTCCAGCATAATCTAACATTGGTGTTTTTGAGCTTAGCCATTCTGACTGGTTTAAGATGGTTCCTCAAAGTCATTTTGATTTGCATTTCCCTGATAGCAAAGTATATTGTAATTTTTCTTAAGTGTCTTTTAGCTATTTGAGAATTTTCTATTGAGAATTCTCTGTTTAGTTCTGTACCCCTTCATTTAAATTGGGTTATTTAGAATTTTTGTGTCTAGTTTCTTGAGTTATTTACATATTTTGGAGATCAGTCCTCTGTCTGATGTGGAGTGGGTGAAGTAGTCTGACTTTATGTCTTATTGACTGTGCCCTTTGTTTACATAAGCTTCTCAGTTTCAGGAGGTCCCATTTATTTATTGTTGCTCTCAGTGCCTGTGCTACTGGTGTTATATTTAGGAAGCATTCCTTATGCTCATGAATTTAAGGCTGCTTCTCACTTTCTCTTCTATCAGGTTTAGTATGATCAGATTTATTTTGAGGTCTTTAATCCATTTGGAGTTGAGGTTTTTTTTCATAGAAATAGATAAGGGTCTATTTGTATTCTATATGTTGACATCCAGTTATGCCATCACCATTTGTTGAAAATGCTTTCTTTTTTTTTCCATTGTATAATAAGTGGATACTAACTGTAAAGCAAAGGATAAGGAGCCCATAGTCTATAATGCTAGAGATGCTACATAACAAGGTGAATCCAAAGAAAAGCATACATAGATCTACCTGGAATAGGGGAATAAACAAGGTCACCTGAAAATAAATGGAAGCATGGGGGTAGAGGGAGAAGGGATGGCAGAAGGGGAAGAGGAGGGGAGAAGGGAAGCAGGTAGGAGAACTTGAGGGAATGGGAGAGTAGAGATAGAGGAAGGACAGAGATAGAGCAAGGGAAGAGATATTTTGATTGAGGGAGTCATTATGGGGCTAGCAAGAAACCTGACACTATAGAAGTTCCCAGGGATCTACAAGGATATCCACAGCTAAGACCTTAAGCACTAGTTTAGAGGGTCCCCAAACTGGCTTTGACCTGTTGTTGGGTGGAAGACCCTCTTAATGTCACCTTAGAACCTTCATCCAGGAACTGATGGAAACAGAAGCAGAGACCTGCAACAGAGCACTGGACTGAGCTCCAAAAGTCCAGCTGAAGAGTGGGAGGAGTGAGAATATGAGCAAAGAGATCAACACCATTATGGGAACACCAACTGAAACAGTTTGCCTGAGCTAATGGTAGCACTCCAACCCTAGCCAGACAGGGAAGGAACCAGCATAGGGCAAAAATAGACCCTCTGAATGTGGGTGACAGTTGTATAGCTGCGGCAGACTAAGTGGCCACTGGCAGTTGCACCATATTTTACCTCTGCTGCTTGTACTGGCTTTTTGTGAACCCATTCTCTTTGGATGAATAACTTGCTCAGCTCAGATATAGTAGGCTTGAACCTTCCTCAAAGCAATGAGGAGTTTATGGGTGATGGGGTGGAGGGAAGGTGGAGGGGCTAGGAGAGGGGATAGAGTAGGAACTGGGATTGGTATGTTAAATGAAAAAAAAAATAGTACATTCTCTTCTTTCTTAAAAATAAAATAAAGGAAAAAAGTAATCATAAAAAGATGTTTCCAGAGAATGGTAGGAGTATACTTCATGTAAGATGCCATGCGAGGCACAATTAATCAGCTCTAACCACCAGAACATGATAGAGCCAGTTAAGACAAATGACAGATATAAAATAGGTTGGATGATATGGGCCAGAAAAATGATAAGTTCATATATGAAAGGTGTGTTACCTACTCTTACTGTTGCTGTAATGAAATACCTGACTAGATAAACTTGTGACTAGAACCATTTATTTATATTTGGATTATGTAGTCCATTGTAGTAGAGATGCGATGGTGCATAGGACAGGAGGCAGCTCACAATATGGCCATAGTTGGACAGCAGAGATATGAATGCCATTCTTAGCATATATTCGCCTTTTTATTCAGCTCATAAGATATGTCCACCCACATCCAAGCTAAGTCTTTTGACTTCTAAATTTTTGGAAACACCCATGTAATACTCAGAGATGTGTTTTCACTGTGATTCCAAATATCGTCAACTTAAACCATCAATATGAGCCACAGCAATAAAGTATACAAAGCTTCCCTAAGATGTAAAGTAAATTAGAACAGAAAAGTATTTACTTCTAAAGAATCCTAGCATAAAACATTAGCAGCAAGAGAATGTGGAATGTGGTTCATGACTGCTTTTAACTCAGACATTGACAGAAGGCTGCAAAGAGATGCACAGAGAAACTAAGAGGAAAAAATAATCTCAAACACTCTTAGCTTCCACTAAATCAAAAATAAAGATTTTAAACAGAAGACCATGTAATGTAGTTATAACAAAAGGAGTGTAAACCAACTTACATCATTACATGTGGTCAGTTCTGTGACGGTTAATCTCTGAGTCAATTTTGGTGAGCCATGTTGTTACACTCATAAAAAACATGTCTGCCTATTACCTTATTAACATTTAAGTCAGATTTTCAGACCACATTATTCCACAATATGGGGTGTGATGTTTCAAATAGTCCACTAAAGGCCTTAACAAGAAAGACATAAGTTCTTCTAAGAAAGATAGTACTCAGCCGGGCGGTGGTGGCGCACGCCTTTAATCCCAGCACTCGGGAGGCAGATCTCTGTGAGTTTGAGGCCAGCCTGGTCTACAAGAGCTAATTCCAGGACAGGAACCAAAAGCTACAGAGAAACCCTGTCTCGAAAATAAAAAAAAGAAAAGAAAAGAAAGAAAGAAAGAAAGAAAGAAAGAAAGAAAGAAAGAACTCAGCCTCTAAATATCATTGATTCAAAATTCAGACACTGACGCAATTGGTATCCCATATGCCTTTTTTCTTGGCCTGAATCAATTTGGTGAACTACCCATATCCACTTTTCTACCCTGCTCTTCTCTGTGTTTCTCAGTTCCTCTTTTCTCCTCGCTTGTCCTTCTCTCCTCTCCTCTCTTCTCCTATCCTTTTCTCTCCACTCCTCTCCCTTCCCCTCCCCTCTCCCTCCTTTATTCTCCTCTCCTTCCTTCCCCTTGTCTCCTTTCTTTTCCTCCCCTCTCTTTTCTTTTACCTCCTCTATCATATCTAGTGAAGTAAGTGTATATATTTCCATCTATAAGTTATGCTTATAGTTTCTATCCTTGTTCATAAAATTTGTAATTTTCATTTAACACTTTGAAAACACAAAAAATGATTATCAAGAGTTAAACTAATTGAATCAGATGAAGAGATACTTCATATCTTGTAATTTATTAACAGATTTTAATAGTAACAAAACACAAAAGCGTTAAAATACCTATTTGAAATGACAAGAAGTATTAACAGCTCTGTCTCCCTCCCAAAT